CTGTGGCTCAAGTGGTAGGGTGCTAGCCTTGAGCTGAAGAGTTGAGGGACAGCGCCCAGGCCCAGAGTTCAGGCCCCACGACTGGACCCAAAAAACAAACAAACAAACAAAAAAAACAGCTGTGTCCAGGCTGTCTTATATCAAAGCCTCTTCTCTTTTTTATTTTTTCAGTCATAGGGCTTGAACTCAGGGCCTGGGTGCTATCCTTGAGTTCTTTTGCTCAAGGCTAGTATTCTACCACTTTGAACCACAGTGCTACTTCCTGTTTTCTGGTGGTTCATTCTCACGGACTTCCCTGCCCGGGCAGGCTTTGAACAAAATCCTCAGATCTCAGCCTCCTGAGTAGCTAGGACTACAGGTGTGAGGCACCAGAGCCTGATAAAGCCTCTTCTCTTTACGGAACTCTGGTCTCCTCTTCCCTTCTGGGGACCCTCTGGCTGAATGACACCTCTATTCTCTCCTCCAGCCACAGGCTGTGGCCGATGTTTCTACAACCCTTCTGGCCGCGTGGTCAATGGTGAGGATGCTGTCCCCTACAGCTGGCCCTGGCAGGTAAGAGGAATATCCGCTGCTCTCAGGCCGTCCCTGGGCTCCAGGTCCCCAGGTCTGCACACATGCCACCCAGTCCCCATCACTCCCTTTCTAACATCCACTTCTATCCCCTAAAGCCAGGGGACTTTGCCAGCTCAAGCTATAACCCTTGCTCAGCTGTTTGCAATTTAAGAGTAGAATCAGGGGGCTGGAAGGTGGCTCAGTGGTAGAGTGCTTGCCTTGCATGCATGAGGCCCTGGGTTCGATTCCTCAGCACCACATAAGCAGAAAAAGCTGGAAATGGTGCTGTGGCTCAAGTGGTAGGGTGCTAGCCTTGAGCTGAAGAGCTGAGGGACAGTGCCCAGGCCCCCAGAGTTCAGTCCCTACAACCAAAACCAAAAAACAAAGAAACAAACAAAAAACCCCAAGAGTAGAATCAGTGGCTACCATCTATAAGAAGGCTAGTTACTCAGGAGGCTGAGATCTAGATGACCACAATTCAAGACTACCCTGGGCAGGGAAGTTCTCTAAACTGCATCTCCAAAATAGCCACCAAAAAGCAGAGCTGGAGGTGTGTCTCAAATGATGGTGCAATACCAGTTAAACAAATATGAGGCCCTGAGATCACACTCAGTATCAGCAAAGGAAAAAAAAATCAGGCTCAGTGGCTTAGTGGTAAAGAGCTTGCCCAGTGTGTGCAAGGCCCAGGTCCTATCTCCAGTGCAACAAGAAAACAACAACAAAAATAAGCCTGGCCCTGGTGGCTTATGCTTATAATCCCAGCTACTCAGGAGGCTGAGATCTGAGGATCATGATTCAAAGCCAGCCCTGACAGAAAAAGTCATGAGATTCTTATCTCCAACTCATCAGCAAAAACTAGAAGCGAGGGTATGTATGAGCTCAAATGGTAGAGCACTGTCATGAGCAAAAAAGCCAAACAAGTCTCAGTACCAACACAGGCCAAAAATAAAATATCAAAATAGGTCACGAGTCAGATCTGACTCATAGATTCGAATTTGCCAACACTTGTTCTCCTAGAAACTTTGGAAAAATCAACACGTGTAGAGACGAGAAGAGAGGCAGAGGACCCGGGGTGAGCTGTGCTTAGGCAGCTCTGAGAAATCCGGAAAGATCTGACGTGCAAGAGAATGTAGAGGATTTGAGAAGGGGGAGTCATGGAGGGTTCTTTTTTTTTTTTTTTGGGGTCCGGTTGTGGGGCCTGAACTCTGGGCCTGGGCACTGTCCCTCAGCTCTTCAGCTCAAGGCTAGCGCTCTACCACTTGAGCCACAGTGCCACTTCCGGCTTTTTTCTTTTTGCTTATGTGGTGCTGAGGAATCGAACCCAGGGCCTCAGGCATGTAAGGCAAGCGCTCTACCACTGAGCCACCTTCCCAGCCCCAATCTGTGAGATTTTTAATCTTCACTAAATTACTAAAAAATTAGGAAATGGAACTATGGCTCAAGTAATGGAGCACTAGCCTTGAGCACAAAAACCCACAAAACTCAGGGATAGCACCCAGATCCTGAGTGTAAGCCCCAGGACTAGCAAAAAAAAAAAAAAGAAAGAAAGAAAGAAAAAGAAGGCATGCAAGATAGCTGCAAGTTGGGCTGGGAATGTGACTTAGTGGCAGAGTGCTTGCCTAGCATGCATGAAGCCCTGGGTTTGATTCCTCAGTACCATATAAACAGAAAAGGCTGGAAGTGGTGCTGTGGCTCCAGTGGTAGAGTGCTAGCCTTGAGCAAATGAAGCTCAGGGACAGTGCCCAGGCTCTAAGTTCAAGCCCCAGGATTGGCAAAAAAAAAAAAAAAAGAAAGAAAGAAAGGATGGAAGGACGGAAGGAAGGAAGGAAGGAAAAAAGAAAGAAAGAAAAAGAAATGAAGAAAGAGAGAGAGAGAAGATCATATAGTCCACAGCAGGCCAGAAAAGCAGGGGATCCTAGCCTTGAGCTCCCTACTCAGTGTTCTCTGTTTCCACAGCCAAAGGGCCTCTCCCTGACAAGCTTCAGCAGGCACTGCTGCCCGTGGTGGACTATGCTCACTGCTCCAGGTTGGACTGGTGGGGCTTAAGCGTGAAGAAGACGATGGTCTGTGCTGGCGGCGACATTCGCTCTGGCTGCAACGTGAGTCCACTCTCACCTGCCGCACAGGGTACAAGGGGTGCAGCCATCTGTCCAAGGTGGAGGGGCAGAGAAGGCATCTTGCCCGCTTACCTCATTCAGCCCCAGGCCAGGCAGGATGAAGAGGAAGTCGGCATCATCTCTAGAGGTAGAATTGGGAGCCCCCCACTCTCAGCTGGCTCCCACACTGGTTGACTTGTACATGTCACTCACCTGCTCTGGTCCTCAGGCTTCTCCAGTGGTAGAGTCAGGGACACTGGCCCTGTGACCTGGAATGCGGTGCAATTGTCTTTCTGAAGTTATAAATAAACATTAAGGGTACTTCTGTTAGCCGGGCCCTGGCTCACGCCTGTCATCCTAGCTACTCAGGAGGCTGAGATCTGAGGATCACAGTTCAAAGTCAGCCTAGGCAGGAAAAGTCTGTGAGACTCTTATCTCCAACAAAGCACTCAGAAAACCAGAAGTGGCTCTGTGGCTCAAGTGGTAGAGCACTAGCCTTGAGCTGCAGAGCTGAGGGACAGCGCCCAGGCCCAGAGTTCAAGCCCCACCACTGACAAAAAAAAAAAAAGAAAGAAAGAAAAGGAAAAAGAAAAAAGAGTACTTCTGCTGCCCAGTGCCTGTAGCTCAAGCCTGTAATCCTAGCTACTCAGGGGGCTGAGATGTGAGGATTGTGGTTCGAAACCAGACTGGGCAAGAAAGTTCATGAGACTCTCATCTCCTGTTAATTACCAAAAAAAAGTCAGAGATGGTTCTGTGGTTTAAACGATAGAGTCCTAGCCTGAAACAAAGAAGTTCAGGGTCAGCACTCAGGCCTTGAGTACAAGCCCCTACACCCAGGCATAGTGGCACATGCCTGTGATGTCAGCTACTGTAGAGACAGAGCCAAGAGGATCTTGAATGCAAAGCCAACCTAATCAAAGTTACCAAGACTTTATCTCAAAAGCAAACTACAAATGCAAAGGAAAGGAGTGTGGCTAGAGTAGAGCACCTGCCTGCCCAGAAGAACCTAGATTCAATCCCAAAGCCTGTGAAAAAATGCTTTCATTGTATTATGAGTATAAAGAATGACATCAGATTAACTGTTCTACTAAGAAAAGGAACTACCATTCTCCAAGTGCCTCCACCTTATTAGATTTTGGCCAAGATTCTTTATCTTTTTTTTTTTTTTTGTCTGTTGTGGGATCTGAACTCTGGGCCTGGGCGCTGTCCTGCAGCTCTTCAGCTCAAAGCTAGCACTCTAGTTTATCTTTTTTTTTTTTTTGTCTGTTGTGGGATCTGAACTCTGGGCCTGGGCGCTGTCCCTCAGTTCTTCAGCTCAAGGCCACAGCACCACTTCTGGCTTTTTCTGCTTATGTGGTGCTGAAGAATCAAACCTAGGGCTTCATGCATGCCAGGCAAGCACTCTACCACTGAGCCATCTTCCCAGCCCCCAAGATCCTTTATCTTATTTTATTAATAATGTGTGTGTGGCTGGGCATTGGTGGCTCACTCCTGTAATCCTAGTACTCAGAAGCCTGAGATCTGAGGATCATGGTTGGAAGCCAGCCCAAGCAGGAAAGTCCGTGAGACTACTCTTATCTCCAATAAACCACCAGAAAACCAGAAGTGGCGCTGGGACAGTGCCCAAGCCCAGAGTTCAAGCCCCACAACTGACAAAAAAATAAAAAATAAAAATAGTGTGTGTGTGTGTGTGTGTGTGTGTGTGTGTGTTTGTGTGTGTGTGTGTGTGTGTGTAGGACTGGGGTCTGAACTCAGGGCTTGCCTCTACTGCTTGAGCCATGCATCCTGCAACCCTCTTTTGCTCTGGTTATTTTTGAATGTTTTGATCTCGCTCTTTGCCTGGGCCAGCCTGAATTCTGACTTCCTATTTATCTTTTCCATCTGAATTGGGATGACAGCCGCAGCCTCATGCCACCGTGGCCAGACTTTTCTGCTGAAATCTGGTCTCTTGAACTGGCCACAAACCATCATTCTCCCAATCTCAACTTCCTGAGTAGCTGGGATTACAGGTGCAAGGGACTGCACCAGGCCAGTATCTTATTTAACCCATACCAACTCATAAGACAGATGGCTGTTTACCTTATCATAGATGAGATTCAAATAAGGAGTAAGTTTAATGAAATCCTTGAAGTTAGAAGCAATCCCTCATTCGCAGCTCAGCCCCTTTCCTGTCTGACCATTTCAGGGTGACTCTGGAGGACCCCTTAACTGCCCTGCTGAAGATGGCGCCTGGGAGGTCCATGGAGTGACCAGTTTTGTGTCTGCCTTTGGCTGCAACACCAAGAAGAAGCCCACGGTGTTCACTCGGGTCTCAGCCTTCAACAAGTGGATTGAGGAGGTGAGGGGAGCAGGGTGCTGGAAGGGCTGGGGTGGAGGGGCACAGATTGGGAGGAGGGCCAGGAGGGAAGTCCTGGGAGCATTCCTGAGGGCTTAGAGATGTTTTGTGGCCCAGGGAAAAGAGAGTGGTCTTTGGGTGGGGCTCTCAAGCCCTGCTGTACTTTCTGAATTTAGCATGTGGCTAGCAGTGTCTCCTCTGGAACAGGTCTTTCCTCCTCCTCCTCCTCCTCTTCCTCCTCCTCCTCCCCCTCCTCCTCCC